AAGTAAAAACTCAAAGACATGTAGGCACATGTTTCATATAAGAAAGAATAATCAACCTATTAAATCAAAGTAGTTTGTAGATATGCTTTTAAAATAATTTGTAAGTTTATTCAAAATCTGAAAAAAATAAACACCACTATAGTAAACCAATAGGAGCTGCAGGAGTACAATGGTTAAAGCACTGGGTTGCGAACCGAAAGACAGGTGATTTGAATCCACCAGCTTCTCAGCAGGAGAAATAAGAGGCAGTCTACTTCTATAAAGATTTACAGCCTTGGAAACCCTATGGAGCAGTTCTACTCTGTCCTATGGTGTCAATGTGAGTCTGAATCAACTCAACAGCATGGGTTTAGTTTTGTTTTTTATAGTAAACTAATAAAGCCATGGTGGTACAATGGTTAAAGCACTCAGCTGCTAACCAAAAGATCAGCCATTTGAACACATTAGCCCACCCTGCAGGAGAAAGATGTGGCAGGCTGCTTCCATAAAGATTTACAGCCTCAGAAATCCTATGGGGCAGTTCTATTCTGTCCTACATGGTCGCTATCACCTGAAATTGACTTGATGCCAGTGGGTTTTATAGTAAAGTAAGTGCCTCCAGAAATGCCTTACCTAAAACTACCTATTCACACTGAAAAATATGATTTAGGAAGACTTCCCAATATATTCAAATGACAGACAATACATAAAAATACATACTAGCTAGCTCATTCAATGGGATTCTAAGAGCTGTTTAACTAGACATCACATAGGAGATATACTGAAATTCAGAACTCCATCTCTGATTTGACATACACACAGAACAAATGGACTGCACTAGTCTATCAAGTTTCTAGAAAATAAACACTAACTACACTGGGTGCAATGCTTCCCTCCATCCCCTAACAATAGTTAAAATCATTCCCTGTTCTTTGATTGCCTAAACGGGTAAACCCACAGATGTTACCTCCTACCTAATCTTTATCTGTTACAGCAGGCTTACAACTATCCTAGGAATCAAAAGGCAGAGTATTGAGAAGAATCTGTGCTGGGAATGGCTAAAGGAATGATTTCTTCTGAAATCAGATATGCCTTATTAAGTAAAGGACTAACCAAAACCTTTTATTAAGTGTTACCGTTGTTAGGTGTTGGTGTTAAATCTACTGTTGTTAAATCTGTCTATTACGTAGATAGATTTAATTTGGTCTATTTCTATAAATTAATTCAGTACAGTCATTAGGACACACACAAAGGCAGCACAGAACTTTGGAAGAAAACAAAAAAAGTCAACTACAGAAGCATTGTCAACTTTGTGCCAAAAATGAGCCAAACTGAAAATAAGCTCTAAGTTCTCTTTGTGAAGATAGCAAGCACATTCTCATTGAAATAGAGATGGTCAGATTTACTATAAACCATAATTAAATATTTGACTTCAAACGATCCGAAGACCACAGTAATGCACTTAACAAGCACACAGAACATCTAAACATCTACAGTAAGTAACACAAGCACATAGGGAATGTGAAACTAATCAGTTCCCCATCAGTCACAGCAGAGAAGATCCTATGCCTGCCAAAGGGGAACACAGCATAAAAGCAGACGATCTTTATCTTTGCTTGACCCAGTCCAAGCAACCATTTTGGGATCAATGAAAACAGTCAAAGCCATTGCACTGCAGGCCTAGCTTCTAAAGTAAACTTATTAGCTATCAAATCCTCATAAGTGGATTTCCTTGCAAATTTTCGTAAGAAAGCAAATTACCCCGAACAGGTACCTTTCCTGAAATTGAAAAACTATTGCATACATTTTATTTTATGTATAAAGAGCTTACATATGAACTAGTAATGTTATCACTAAGGCACAATAAAAAAAGTAAACCTCCAAATTTCAGAATACATTATAGTTAAATTTTTCCTTTTTTTCTTTATTTAGAACTATGGTATGATTATTTATTTAAATAATAACAATTACGTAATTTCTTTCCTCAGTCTCTGAAATTCCATGCATGATTATAATATCTGATTAATCAAAGTTAAATAATCTGTAAGAAGTCAAGGCTAAATTAAACCATCTAATATATTAGAAAATAAAATATCTGATAGCAAAGTTGCAAACCATGTACCATCACACTTTATTATATGTAGATTACACTTATCTAAAATAAACCTTAATATTTATCTAAATGAGATGAAAATATAAGTCCACCTAAAAAGTTTCACCCGAATGTTTATAGCAGCTTTATTCTTAATTGCCAAAAACTGGAAGCAACCAAGATGTCCTTCAATAAGTGAATGGATAAACAATGGAGTATTGTTCAGCAAAAAAAAGAAATGAGCTATCAAATTACATAACGTCATAAAGAAAAATGCATACTGCTAAGTGAAACAAGTCAATCTAAAAAAGCTACATATAGTACGATTCCAATTATATGATATTCTGCAAAAGGCATAACTACAGAGGCAGGAAAAAGATTAGTAGTTACCAAGGAGTCAGGAGGAAGGTTCAGAGATGAACAGGTGGCTCAGAAGGCATTTTTAGGGCAGTGAAACTAATCTCCATGATACTGTAATAGTGGACACATAACACTATGCATTTGTCAAAACCCACAGGGCTGTGCAACACAAATTGTAAAACCTTATGTAAAGTACAAACTTTAGTAATAATAATGTATCAATATTGGTTTATCAATTTAACAAATGTGCCACAGGAATGCAAAATGCTGGTAATAGGAGAAGCTGTGCAGGAGGATGAAGATACATGGGAACTCTGCACTTTCTGCACAATTTTTCTGTAAATCTAAAGTTCTATAAAAATTAAAGTTTATTAAATTAACCATAAATTAAATAAACTCATTAAAACAAAGTAATTAATTTTGCCAATAAACTGTTGTCAACATTTAAGTGGTATATAAATTAAATTAACATATTTACCAATTCAATTGTTTGTAAAAAGGTTACAAAGAAAACATATGTAATAAAATAGTTTATTTAAAAAAATAAAAATTATTCAGACCATTAAATAAATGCTATAAAGAAACAAGATTTTAGATTTAATTCAAATGGGAGTTTTTCCACAAAGCAATTTATATGAACTAGCCACCAAAGCCTAACAATGATCCAATGACCTGCTATCTTAAACAGCTTTGATGTAACAGAGTCTTAAATGTGACAAAAAGGTTTACCGTTAAACAGTTTTTCTAGCAAAGAAATATTTGTCCTATTCAAGTGATATATTCTTTAAACATTATTATTCCAAGTTTATATACTACTGTACATGACACTCATGTAAAGAACTATATTAGATTCACCACAGACAATAAGCTTTATTAGTTTTTTCTACACAAAAGAGCTGTCAACCAGCCAACTACAGTAAAACCTGCAAAAGTGAGAACCTATATATGGCAGAAACCTGCCGGAGAAGGAAACCCAAATACAAGTATGCGTTGCTTAACATGTACAATATATTCTGTGAAATAGGACATTATGTGATTTGGACATTGTGCAAACACCACACTGAAACGTTATGGAAACCTGCTTCCAGTTGTCCTCATCGCCACTGTCACTACTGCTGCTGCAGAAGCTGCTGGCAGAGGCTGGGGCGGGCACCAGGAACAGAGCAAGAGGATGCAACTGAGGAGGGAGCAGAGTGAGGTCAGCCCCGTCTTCCTTTCTGCCTGCCGAAGCAGGAGGAGCAATCCAGGCCTCATAGCCATGGCCACCTGCCTGCCCACAGGACAAAGCCTGAGAGCCTACACCCACAGCCATATTCTCCCCCTCACCTGCCTATATCCCCACCCACAGTCCAGTGCCACAAGGGTCTGGATTTAGGGTCTTTAAAATCATTGGGGAAAATGAGAAACAAAAGGAGAACTGCTTTCCCATGTAAAAAAAATCCTTATGGGACCACAGATGTATATGCACTTAGATGTTGTCCAAACAGACATTAAGTGACACATACCTGTATTTCCCATAACAATGAGAGACAGAAAAACGGTAAGACCGCAACCTGTCAAAGGTGGAAAGCTTGTAAGACCCAAAAACAAGGCAGTCCCATCGACTTCCTGTTCGTTCTCACAGGTTTCACAGTATTAAGATAAGCATTCTGCAAAATTTTCACTTTCATTAATACCTACAATTGCTACCTTTGCTTTCACATAAAGGTAAAATCTGTAAAAACAGAACTCATAACAAATTCTACCTGCGTTCAATCTTTGAATATTTTCATTCAATCTGCCCTCCTACCTGTAATGCACAAGAGTATCAAAACAAACTATAAAACTTCATGTTTGCCCAATTCAAACACTGACCTCAAATCAAACAAAATAAATATCTTAAAACAACCAAATAGCCATCTCCCAACTACTGCACTAGACCCAAGACAGAGAATAAGGTAGGAGATTATTTTACACCTCTTTCTGTAAGTACCTATCATTAATCATTTCCAGACAAGCAGGTTTACTTCCGATAAGTAGACACTAACCAGAAAATTGAGTACATGTGGTCATAAAGAGGAAAGTGTTTCAAATATAACATCATTGCCTCAAATCATGTATTCACAATTGATGACCCTAATAAATAAAGCAAGCCATGAAGAAATTATTATTCCTGTACTTTTAAAAATTAATTTTCAACTAAATAATTATCAAATAGCAAATACTTTAACCACAGTATTATTTTATCATTAAATAAACATGTAAGTTCCTAATATTTCATCCACTAAAAGATAACTGTATTTGTTATCCTGCAATTCAATTATTATTCCATTACTGTTACTGTATTACTCTATCTTCGGCAACTCCATTCTATCACTACAAACATACTTGCTGAATGTTCCATTCCTACACAGAAACAACAAAAACCACTGTCTTCTACAATCATTTAAGTACAAAGCACAATGATTTTTTTACTAATTAATCAGACTACAACAAAAACAGTTGCCAACAACTACTAGCACATCAAGTCAACACTTCAAATGTACCTTCTGCAAACAATACAAGTAAATAAATATCCGTAAGTACTTACCTACAGTTGGGAGGAGGGTCCAACGTAATTTCTGCAAGTTCCTTCTGGATTCTTTAAAATATAAAGAAAAGTTATATTAAAATGGGTATGTCTTGACTCTCCTAATATTAATCTATTTCTTTCTAATGTTATACCTTATCACTAATACTTCCTTTTTGTATGCTTTTCATTTTAAATAGCAGTATTGGATTACACATCACATACAACAACACAGTCATCTCTGCTGCAATTTTGAGAACGCACCTACAGAAGATGATGAGATTAGCTACTACCAGTGCATGCAGCCTATGAAGACAGCACTATGACTTCAATTAAAACTTCATTGAACGAACGACAGCACTAATCAAAATTTCTAGTTTAAATGGAACACCCTATTTAGGGATCATTCTAACTGCAGATTTGTTCTAGACAATCCCCATACAGGATGGAAAGCTGATCATATTAAGCTGAATCCAAGTATCCTGACTGATTGAATCATTTTGTAAAGAATGGAATATCACTGTCTCATTCTAATACTTGAGACTGCTATCAAAATACCTATCTTACTCCTCTCCGAAACCTCCAGTTGGAACAGGCTGACACTTCCAAGATTGACACTATTCCCTCTATTAGTGCAGTTTTCCCAAAAAACATGAATTATTTAATGTCATTTAATCTTCATATAAAGAAAAACAAAGAATTTTTCTTTAAAACCTGTTTCTGTTCTTCTATGTGATTTTCTACTTTGATTCTTTAACTACCTAAATCCACGTGTACATATATGACAGGTAACAGTGCTAGTTTTCTAAAACTATACTTAGTAATATCCTAACTATCATTTATAAAGGTTATTAAACATAGGCTTTGCTAAATCAACAACAATAAAAAAAATTCTCAAAACTACTTCTTCTCCTTTGCCTTGGTTTTTAAATATGAGATTCATTAAGTGCTGGATGCCTGCTATCTGGTTAATTATGATGATAGCACATGGATGACAGTTGACTAAAAAAAAAAAAAAAAGAATAATTCAAATAAAAACATTTACTCCAATAATTTCATTCCACATCTTTTAAAATATTTTATTGTTTTCAGTGAAAGTTTACATAATAGATTAGGTTCCCACTCAACAGTTTCTATACGTATTGTTCAATGATATTAGTTACATTCTTCCAATGCATGAACATTCTCATTATTACCATTCTGGTTGCTCTGTTTCCAGTAATGTAGCTCCCCCCCCCCACCTCCTCTGTTTTAAAGTAATTGTTGACTGTTTGGTCTCATATAGATGGCTTTTTAAAGAGGCATGGTACAGGCAGTACCCCAGATTATGAACAACCCATTCCTGTGTCTTTAAGTGGAATTTGCAGGTAAGCAGGAACAGCTACACACGGCTTTTACTTTAGTGCAAGGAGAAACTCAAAGCCTTTTCCATGATTGAATAGCTACACGTACATCCTATAAAGGGGAATTGTGATGAAGAATTTGTTTCCAGTTGGGTTGGTTGAGTCCATTGTTTCAAAGCTAGGGCAACTTTACCTAACATTAAACAGGCAAGCAGGAGTTGTCTCGAAGTCAGAAATTCATAACACAGGGACTGCCTATACCCGTGAGTGATATTCTTTATTTTGTAAGCCAACCAGTTATTTAGCTAAAAGGTAAGCTCAGGGGACACTTTTGGTTCAAGGTTTCAATAGTATCTCCAGTCTCAGGGAGTCTAGACTCAAGTGGTCCAGTAAGTCTGGATTCTTTATATTTGAAATTCTGTTCCACATTTTTCTCCCATTCTATTAAAATCCATTTTTCATGGCCCTGATCATAACAATCAGTAGGGGTAGCTAGGCACCATGTAGTTCTTCTGGTCCCAGAATAGATGAGGCTCTGATTCATGTAGAGAGTCCCATAGACTAGTTTCTTCTGAGTCTCAGGTTTCCTTCCTTATCTTTTGCTCCAGACAAGTAGAGACTGTTCTGCATCTTTTTTAAGATAACAAATGAAACTACTAAAATAGGCAAGTCTCCTCCTATAGGATTAGCATTAACTTCCTAAAGGAAGCACACACTACTAACATAATTTCCCCTTGTCTAAACCATGTGACTCAAGGTTGTTGTTGTTGTTATATGCCGTGGAGTCGGCCCCCGACTCATAGCAACCCCTCCTTGGGTTTCCAAGGCAGTATCACTACGGAAGTAGGATTGCCCAACCTTCCTTCCAGCAACCCCTCCTTGGGTTTCCAAGGCAGTATCACTACGGAAGTAGGATTGCCCAACCTTCCTTCCGAGGAGTGGCTGGTGGGGTTGAACCACCAGCCTTCTGGTTAGCAGTCAAGTGCCTTAGGCACTATGCTACCAGAGCTCCTGACTGAAGGTTGGGGAGGTATTATGAAGTAGAACAAGATCAATAAACACATAGTTGAATTAATTCTGCTATTACATTAATTAAGAATACCTGGGCAAGAAGACCACTTTACCTTCTCTCTCTCTCTCCCTCCCTCCCACTCTTCAGTTTTCTGTCCTATAAAATGAAGGGATTTACTAAGATAAACACCATGATTTGATCTTTAAAACACTAATAATTTCCTTTTAACACAGATTCTATCCTGTGTTTACATGGACATGAAACACATATGGCACATCATTAACTAAAAGAAGTCTCAAAGATCTAATCTGAAGAATACCTTTTATGGACTTTACACAAAAGTATAAAACTTTAAATCTATATGGATAAGACCAGGTCAAAGACAGCAAACCAAGCACACACACATTCACCTCCCACCACTTCAGGATCCCAACGGGGAATAGGAGGAGAACAGAAAGTACAAAAAGTAATAAACCTGTAACATCAAAGAGAACTGGGTGGTCTTCAATGGATAAGAAAGTGCAGTTCATTCCTAGAAGGCAAAGTGGCTGGATGTAAATCAAATAAGCTGAGATGGTCTGTAGGGGGCTGTAGACTGAGTAAGTACATAATAATACACACGGAAGGGGGGCAGGGACAGAGAATCAGAAATCCTAGAAGGAAAAAAAAAGGGGGGGAGGGCTATACAAGAAAATTCTAGTTTAAATATGAAGCAAACTAAAATACGAAATCATTTTAATCAAGTAACAAATATTTTTAAGAGAGAAAGAGATTTGATCAATTTTGCCTAAATACTATGACAGAATGGACAGCCCAGGGATCATGAAATTGGACCTATAGGTTATGAACCTAATCTTATGTTTCTTGGCCTGGCATTGAATATTTACAGTTATAATAAATGTAAAGATAGTTTATTGCTTTTCTTCTTATAGAAAATAAGTTACAGCTGTACCACAGATAACTAAGATATAAATGTTATTAACCCTTCAAATATAAAATCAAACGTAGCTAATGGAAACCAGCTAAAAATGGATGAGTGATAGGTGTGAGGAGGTGAAAGGAAAAACAAAGATATTAATATCTCCATTTTACAAAGTGGAAAATCAAAATATTCTGTTGAAATTTGAAGGAAAAAGAAATAGAGGCTTAAATATAGTATTTAGTATACCCCAATGATTTTTCTTTAATATTACTATCATTAACTAGGAAGCAGGAAAGTGAGGAAGAGTAGAAAAATAAGCTACATCCTCATATCTCATAGCATGTAGATAAAAAATAAAGTTAGTGATTCAACAAATGAGGTGTATTATTTACAGTTATGAAGAAAACCACAGAAGAACTAAAAACAAAAATGACTACAAAAGTTTGCTTCACGGGAATGGAACTGGGAACTGAGAGTGTCTGAATAAAAAACTATTGCTTTCCATCATAAACTTCTCTGTGCTGTTTAATTTGTTACCCAGAAACATCATTAACTTTTATAACTTTTTTTAAACTAAGAAAACCCAAAGAATAAGCTTTCAAAACAGTGTTTAATCTTCCAAACAAAATTATTTTTAACATAAAAGAACATCTTTTTTTATGCTTTACTGCCCCTTTAGGTTTAAAAAATAATTGATAAATCATAATTTTCCATTATAGAATTATATAATGGAACCTGAACCCCTCTTTATTATTCAATACAAAAAAGCAATTTACTGATAAATCTGACATCTCTGAGCAGTGATTCAATGTATTATAATATATTTTGAGCCACTGTTACCAAAAATGGTTGTATTTCTCTCAATAGGAAAGATCATACTAAGAATTGCTATTTAAACGGTTGTAAGATATCCTGCTGTTTTCAATGACAGCAATTCAATACTATCTCAAATGTTGTGATCATGCTATGTATTAAGTTTCTCAGTCTTCACACGTAGGATAAGGAAGGTAGCTATTTCAGGCACTGTCCTCAGGGAGAAGAAAAATGAAAAAGTATCAATAATTCACACTTACAGTGTACCTTTCACATGATGATCTTAAGCCATTAAAAGTGAATTAAATAAATCTCACAGAACTTTAAGTATTACTGTTATCAGAGGAGTATGGAGGGATGGACACTGGGAAGAGGTAACTGTGGGGGGGAAGTGGGAAGGGAGCTGCTGAATTGTAAATTTTGGTCAATGACATGAGACAAAGTATATGTGAACTGCTGTATGAAAAGTGAATTTACTCTGTAAATCTTCACCCAAATCCTAATAAAAAAAAAAAAAAAAGTATTACTGTTATCAGTACCCATTTAAACGATAAGAAAACTGAAGCTAGTTATCGTACACTGGTAAGGTGGAAGACTAAGGCTATTATCCTACTAAGTCAGACACAAAACTTCCCTGTTATCGGAACTTTAAAGACAAAAAAAAAAAATTAACTTTTTACTGTGATTTGGGTAAAGTTTACAGAGCAAATTCCTTTCCCATTCAATAGTACATACACATTTTATTTCATGACGTTGACTGCAATCCTCACAATGTAACAAGCTCTTTTCCCACTTCCTCCCTAAGGTTACCTTCTCTTTGTGTCCTTCTTTCCTGTACATTCCCGCCTTCTGAGCCTTCTCCCTGTGCAAATGCTACCTTTCTAATCTACCATGGTTGACTGTGATAAGGAGTGCACCTCCCCACTGTAACTGTTCACCTTGTAGGCCTGTCTATTATTTGGCTGAAGGTCAAGCCACAGGG